CCGAGACCGAGACAGACTGAGACAGACAGGCCGAGACCGAGACAGACCGAGACCGAGACAAACACACCAGACCGAGACGGAGACAAACGCACCGAGACAGAACCCTCTGTGAAAAGTCTGGTGGTTAGATAGGGCCATAGCGAAACGCTTCTTCAAGAACACAAGTTGCTAGTTCCCGGCTCCGCGAGCGCAAGTTGCTGCCGAGCCGGTGGGGTGACAATGACACACTTTTTCCCATGTATGTCTGGATGTATGTATGCATGTATATATGTCTGTATGCATGGATGGATGTCTATGTCTGTGTATGTGTGTGTGCCTGTTTTCCCTTTACTCTGTGCGGGCGGCTTCGACCGCGAAGCGGTGTGAATACCCTTTCAAAAAACTTTCAATTATGTTCCTGGCAAGTATGATGGGCCCGCGTGATCTCCAAAGTGTGCCATCTACTTTGCTCCCACTTGCGTTTTGTCTCTCCATTGGAACTTCGCTTTCCCTGTGCCTGCAAAGCATTCCACCTCCTTCTGTCGGCCGATTTCTTCTTCTGACACGTCAATGTGTGACCTACACGTAGTGACGTAGTCTAAAAGCAGTTCCGCCAACCTACTCCCTGATATATACAGTTATATATATAATAGAGATTCCATGTACAAATTAAATATAACCAATAATTACTAACAGTTACTAACAACAGCCAACACCGACACCCAACACCTTTTCAGAGAAAAACACCGGCTTGAACACACAAAACGGATGGAACAACTTGCCCAACCGTCGATCACCTTTAGTCTAGTTGTCACGCGGGTGAGTTTACTGAGTAGAAACCACCCAGTTGCCCAATAGATTGTACATCTCGGTGCTTTTAGGGATCCATTTTTGTGGAAAAACATCAAGTTTTGAAGGAGAGTCATAAAGATGTTTTCTCCCAAGGTATCATCCAAAAAAGGTAATACAAAACATTGGAAGAAACGGCCTCGATCACTGCATTTGAAACATCACATGAAACTGGACCAACTCAAGTGTGCAACACTGAGGCCCCAACTGCCAACCTGCGGGTGATTTGCCAGTATGTCACCATCGCACCTTGGATCAAAACACAGTCGCCTGATGCATTCCAGCGCGACCAGCAGGCAGCCCTAGGCCCGTAGTGGAGGCAGTATCCTCTCTCATAACTTGGACTTGTCAAGAACCTTCCGAATGGTGGTTTGCCTTCTGAAGCATAGCGAATTGAACTATCGCAGAAAAGTCTCCCATTGAGACATGCTAAGACCAGGCACTGCAAAGGGTCACCAGAAGTGCCGTCAGGATAAGCGCGAAGACTGACATCTGATCAAGATCAGCTTCCGTTGGTGGATCCTGGAGAAACATGATGTCACTTTTTAAAGCAGCATACATCACTGCCACTGCAGCACATCCAGCCTCGCTGATCATTGGTTGCCTCGTAGAATGAGGTAGAACGACTTCCTGCGCATGGACAGGAAAGTGTGATCAACCACTTGGTTTGCTTCATCCAAGACTTGGGAGGCAGTATTTGGACGCTGGCAGGGACAATGACACCTTGCCTTTGTACATGAACAATGGCAGTTCATGATGCACAAAACACCAGAGTATATGCACACGCACCTGGATATGATATCCTCTTTACTGTGATCTATGATCACAAATCGGGGTCAACGTGTATGTTGCAAGGTGGCGTTCTTGATAACATCTGGGCGTTCATCCATGGGGCCCTCGGTATGAGCACCCGTTGTTGGTCACAGCATTGCTACAATATCTAGAGTCTACAATGGTGTCATTGCCTACCCGGCCTACCCTTCAACGACACAACTGCCGTGTTGACTCAATGAAACAAAGGACCCCAAAAAATCAAGAAACTGTTGGTTCTCGGTCACATTGGCCCGAGGCTTTACAAGACACTCCCCTCAGCCGGCTCACAAACAGTCCCCAAAGTGCATACAAGACTGGCATTTGTTGGCGATTGCAAAGCCACAAAACGGCCAGTGCTTGCAACTCAACCTGGGCATATCTGGCATACAGTTCTTTTGAGTTCACATTTGACAAAAACGGGGGGGGGCCAGTAGACCGAACCGGGAAAAGGAGGGTCTTGCCGTATTCTACTCCAACCTGTTTGTCATTAAAGCACAGTTGCGGCTTACATGTTAGGCCCATTGCAGGCAAAAATATGTCAATTGAGTTTCGAAGACTTGTCTAAACACCGTAGCCAAGAAATTGAAACGCAAAAAACCTTCAATTCCTCATTTGATTGTTGCTCAAGTTTCAGACAAGCAGAGTAGATTTCTCTGTGAAACTTAGTGAATTAGTGACAGGGAAACACCATTTTAGTTATTGACAATGCACTAAGTTAAGGCTTGCCAGAAAAGTGTCAGAACAGTTCCTGTCACAGCTAGATTTCCTAACACAGTGACGATTTAGGATAGCATTTGGGCCTTTTAAGCTACAACACCACTCTTGAGCAACATCAACGCATCCGTGGACAATGGTGGTATATAATGTATATATATATATATAGAGGCAAAATACAATGAACCTTCAATCCCTTCCTGAAAGCGAAATCCAAACACCAACAGGCGAGACCCGGAAAAGAATCCCTTATACTGGATGGCTGTACCCCCCTAAGCCATCCATTTGGGGATGCCATCGTCGTTGCTCGGTCGCACCCCATTTTCCACCTGAG